TGGTTAACAAATTGAGCAGAGCAGCCCTTTTTTTTTTTTTTTTCTGTTAAAGGGGCCGTGTCAGCAAAAAACAAAAAAACAAAAAGCAAACAAAAACAACAACAACAACAACAGCAAAACACCTTCCTGAGTGAACTGCATGAAAAATCATTTGGCAAAACCCAAAGTTCACAGCCACGTGCAGAAAAGCCATCATGCTAGAAATAGTCGTCATGATTTGACCTCAGAACTGTCTCTTATTTTAAGATTTCAAAATGCTTAAGTAGATTGGGCGCAGTGGCTCATGCCTATAATCCCAGCACTTTGGGAGGCAGAGGCGGGCAAATCACTTGAGGTCAGAAGTTCGAGATCAGCCTGGGCAACATGGCAAAACCTCATCTCTAATAAAAATACAAAAATTAACTGAGCGTGGTGGCACATGCCTGTAATCCCAGATACTTGGGAGGCTGAGGCAGGAGAATCGCTTCAAACTGGGAGGCGGATGTTGCGGTGAGCTGAGATTGTGCCATTGTGCTCCAGCCTGGTGGATAAAGCAAGACTCCATCTCGAAAGAAAGAAAGAAAGAAAGAAAGAAAGAAAGAAAGAAAGAAAGAAAGAAAGAAAGAAAGAAAGAAAGAAAGAAAGAAAGAAAGAAAGAAAGAAAGAAAGAAAGAAAGAAAGAAAGAAAAAAAAAAAAAAAGAAAAAAAAAAAAAAAAAAAGAAAAGAAAGGAAAAGAAAAGAAAATTGCTTAACTAGACATCTCATGCAATTTTCAAGAGATGAGTGGCAAATGTGACTCCAGCTTTACTAAACAGTGAAATAAATTAAGGCACCAAAATGTGCCGAGCCTTGTCTAAAAACCTATAGCAGGAGAAGAGACAAGAAAAAAATTCCACTGGTTCCCTTCTTTCTCCATCCATTCAGCCAATCACTACCAGATTATTCACCAGCTCTCTTCCCCGTTTCTCGTCTGGGATATCTAAGGTAGAACCATGCATGTTAAAAAAGCTTTTCAGGAAATTCTGATGGGCAGACAGAACCAATGTGAGTCTATGTAATTTTGACTGTCATGTTCTATACGGGCTGCAAAATAAAAACTTGGAAAGTCTTTCATGTGACAAATAGTTTTGGAGTGCATACTCTCTGCCAGGCATTGTGCTAAGTCCTTGGGTACACAGGCGAACAAAACAGATGAAGACCCTGCCTCCATTGAGTGTAGTCCAACAGGAGAGCAACAGGAATCACACTTTTGCATAGGTGAATATCTAATTATAAATGTAGTACGTATTATGAAGAAAAACTAGAGTGTTCTGAGAAAGACGTTAAGGCTGGATAGATACAAGCCTGGGATTGGAGAAGTCAAGGAAAGCCCCAGTTTTTTACATGACATTTACACAAAAATGATTAAGACAGGAGGAATATGCTTCGTTGCTTCCAACACATAACCAAAGCAAGTTATGATTCTAAAAATCAACTAGTTACCAAAAAAGAAAGAAAAAAATAAATGATCTCTTGGGCTTGGCATGCCCTTGTTTTGCCCAGAGAAGCACACTTCCTTTTTACAATTGTTTGGGAGGTTTGTGGCGGAGGAAGAGAGGAAAAATCAGATCTAGAGAAGCAGAGTCCTTCAGCGACTTGCAATAGTGGCTCTTACTAAAGCATCTCATTACTTCTCAAATGTGTCCAAGGGATGCTCAAAGCTGCTTTCTCAAAACAGGATTCTGTGTTCAAATGAGTGTGGGAAATTAAAAGGAACTTAAACAAGTCTCTTTGCATCAGGACTTATCAGAGCCTTGAGTATGCTAATGGAGATCCTGAAGCTCCAAGGGAAAGTGTGGCACAATGCAGTCTGCAGCATTTTCCAATCAAATTTGATGGCAAGAGATTTTGTTTTCACTGAGTACCTAACTCAGTGGCTCTGAAGCTTACATCTGCACAAAATTCCCTTGGGGAGTGTATAGAATGCTGATTCCTCGGTTCCAGCTACAGAGATTCTAATTCACTGGATCTGGAATGGTCCCGGGAATCTTCATTTTTAACAGCACTTCAAGTGATTTTGAGGCAGCAAGTCCAGGATCCATACTATGAAAAAAACTAGTGGGATCAGTGTCCTGCTAGTGTCCCAAAAGCATCTCAGTAGCTCTACACACTTCCGCCATTCAAGCTTTCTCGGCTTCCCCTCACTCTTTAGAACCTGGCTGATGCTGAGTGAACATGGTCAAGTTAGTGGGCCAGAGTAGATAAAAATAATGGAAATATGCAAAGTGAGTCACAGCAAATCCAACCATGGTCTAGAATTTGTTGGGTGTCACAGGTCAAGCTACAAAGACCACATTTGCCATTTGGACTCAGTTGGCAGGAACGTTATGCATGTGTGATGTAAGATGCTGTGCGCTGAAAGTCCCTGAAGCTGTGCAGATACTGGATCCAGCAGAAGTTTTCTCTGTTGTGCCCGTCTGCCTTTGTCTAATTAGCCAAGGGTTACTTTGGCTGCCTCCCTTCCTTTCACATGGAACAAAGGTACCCAGAGAGGTACATGTTGATGCATTCATATGCAGAGAAGTTCTTGTCTTTCTCTTTCTCTCTCTCTCTCAAGTCATTGCTTAGCGAGGAGTCAGCTCCCACATGCTCCTCCTATCTGGGCTGCAATCGGTGCAGTGAGGAGAGGAGTGACAGAGCACATGATTATGACCGGGGCTTGCTGCTGAGCTGCAGGGGTTCAGATTACTGCTACCTGTGCAATGGCAGCTTCCCCGGAGCACCCAGGGGCTCCAAGGCCACAGACAGAAAATACCTTTGCTACCACATGCTGAAAAAAATCCCCAAAACCATTTGCCAAAGATTTGACTTGGTTAAAAGCAAGGTGGAGAGGGGTGGTTAAAGAGGGGAAGCTATAGAAAGGAAAACGCAAGAAAAAAGTGTTTTGCATATTAAACAGCCCTGCTTTGTCCTCCAGTTCAGCCAAAACGTTTAGAGGAGGCTGTGCTGTCCATGGCCACGCTGCTCTGAACGTGCCTCATCTGGTCTTGGAAGCTAAGCAGGATCAGGCTTAGTACTCAGATGGAAGAAGGCTATTCTTGTGCATGTGCAGAGACCAAGATCATAGGGAAAAGCATGTCTACGGTTGGGTTTTGTGTACAAATACTGTATAGGAACATAATTCAACCAGTTTAAAAGAGGAGGATGATTGTGGCTGAAACCACGGTGGGAGGAAGGAACATGCTACATTTCTTCAAAGATAACTGCAGATCGAACGCGTTCATCCTTGTGACCCGCGCTGCCTGCACTGTGGTGTGTTTTGCTTGGTTTGCACCAATGCCCTGGCTGGCGGTCACTTGCTCTTGGTGGCCAGTTTCATTTCCTGGTTTTGAGAAAATGTCAGGGAGGCCTGTTGCTTGGGCATACTGTCACTGAGGGAAGTGTGCAGTTTTAAAATGTCAAAGCCAGCAGGCTCATGTCCAGTGCATGCCGTCAATCAGCAAATGTCCCTGGACCCCTAATGAGCCCACTGCAAGTTCAAACAGTAAGTAACGAACAGATAAAGATCTTGCCCTAAAATTGCCTACCATCTAACCAAAGGGGCAAGATCAAAAGGGAAAGAAAAATAGTATCGATATGGAAAAATAAATGTACTCATTGCTGTAGTGTTTGTGGGCAAAGAATGCAGCTGAGAAAGTGCGGCGTCGTGGAAAGGGCCCCATGGAAAGGAGTCCAGAGGGTTGGGCTCACACTCTTCCCCTTCCCGCTTTGTGACCACAAATGTAGTCCTTGGCCTTCAGAACCTGTGTTTCTTCATCAGCAAAGTGGGGGAGGGGAATAATCCTGCCTTCTTAATTAAATAAGATTATAGATTATAAAATTAAATAAGTAATTAAATAAGATTATAGATGTGGGAAGGCTCAATGTCTTAACTATAAATGATCAATGTCTTAAACTATAAAATAATCTACAAATTTCACTTGTCATTATTATTACTTTTAACAACAATATGAGGGGAAATAAGTCTAGAAAATGCATCTTCTGCCAGTTCCATTAAAAAGAGAGAGAGGCAGAAATGGAGGTAAGTATAAGAATTCAACCAGCCCAGGACTTTGTTCTGGCACCTCAGTGTATATTTAAAGTCCTGTATAATAACATAGAAGTAATCATGGTTATCGTTTATTTGTATTGATGGATTTAAGGTGCTTTTTATTTCTAAGGTTTGGATGCATCTAAGAACAAAGTATACTTCCTAATACACCATTTAGTTTTAATTTTCAGAGATTTGATCGCCAGTTTGGGAGAACTTTGCAACTGTATGTTTGGTATAATTCCTTGACAGATCAATTTGATGATGGAGAAATAATCCTCACATTATCCATATTATCAGATGTCTAGATAAGATAGGAAAGGTAACTTTATCACAGCTATGTGACCCATGACGGCCTAGGTAGCTGAGTGAACCAGGAGTCTGAATTTGGAAACTAAGTTGTGAGGTTCTTATGAACTTCCTAGGGCTTCCTGAGCCTCCCCCAACCTTTAGATGCCAAGTCCCTTGGCAAATTCATATCATTCCTGCAAACAGAAAATAGTATTAAGAATAATAAGATTTTTTCAAATTTTCCTTCAAGGGTCCTATGAGCTGGCCTGAGAAATTGTTCAACTTTGAAGGGAACTTTGAACAAATAGGACAAGACAATTGAAACAAGTAGCTAGAATTAAGACATTGTGGATCCCGAAGTTCTTAAACACTGAAACCTCCTTGTGGTATGCAGAAGCCAAATTGATCATCTTTAGGCAGAGATTCCTTGGGCATGATTGATAAGGCTGTCCATCCAGCATAACATTGAGACTTTCTTGTATAAACCCCTCACGCCCACTAAACAGGAAATGCAAGCTACTAGAGCTGAACACTCAGCCACCCTCTAGGTCCCCACCCTCCACCCCCGCCCAGTATAAGAACATTATTCTTTGCTTTCCTTTCTGAGGAGCTGTAGACATTCATTCATATATGCAGAGCAATCAGACATCACTAGCCAAAGAACACCTGGTAATAATTCTTACATTTTGGAATCTTAAGAAACTTCCAAGGAAAGGGGTGATACGAGTTGGTAAGCCACAGCTTTTGGCGGTAGCATGAGCCCTCTGGCTTCTGAAACCCTAGAGTTAAGATACACTCTTGTAGCAGGCTTGTCACACTTGAAATTCTAACTGGTAGCTTCATACCCTGAGTTGGTTTGTCACTTGAGAAACTTTGGTTGAGAATGTAGGAACTGGAAAGATTTCTTGAGACATGCTTGTTTTAGATACACCCAGAGACATGCCAGGTACAGATGACAATTTCCACCGTAGGTAAAACATCTCAAAGCAGAAGCCTAGGCTGACAGTGGACCAATAACTGCATTGTTTACTGGTTTCCCAAGGCAAATGTTCAGCAAATTCTGTATATATAATCAACAGAAAATTTTGTTCAGATTCTAGAAAAGGTAGATTGCTGTTTTGTCTATATGCGTACTTTCTGCTATAGTAGTATTTGCATAAGTTAAATATTTTCAGGGCAATTTTTATTAGTTTTCAAAATGCGCTTTTGTGGGTATCTATATGTGTGCAGGTGTGTGGGGAGAACCATGAATAAGACAAAGACTCCTTGTCACTGAGGGCAGAGCCTGACTCAGCATCCCAATACAACCCCTGCTTTGCATTCGTCCCAAAGAAAGCACATTCTAACAACCAAACAACCATGCCAAGCCTCCGGCCACAAACCCGACCAAACATTTTCAAACAGATGTATATATTTATGTGAAATAACATGGATATCTTTCAGTGCCCCAGAGACGGTTTTCTGCAGCAGATCTAACTCAAGTGGATAGGGACTTCTGAAAGTCCATTTTCAAACTGAGTTTGCTGAATCCAGCTAGCTACATGGAAGGGACGGCACAGGCTCAGTGGGAGCAGGACAGAGGAAGGGGAGGCCAGGGTGCAAGCTCATCCGCTCCCTCATCTGTACAATGGGTTCGTTCCCTGACCACCTCACTGCACTATTGTCAGGTCTCCTTCGCTGGGAGCTGAAAAAGCCAAATGCTGAAGCAGAAAGTAGGGATTTTATATACAAGGCTTGAATGATAGACACATATGGAGCATGCCTCCCCCACCACAACCCCACCACACCAGAACACAAGCTCTCTGCAACATGGTCCTCCTCTCTAATGTCTATGAGTTCTAGAACTTGAATGAATCTTTGTCAAGAATGTAGTTCAGCCCTGTCTCCAAACCATGAACTCATCTGTGAACAAGACATTCCTATTTTCCTTTATCTTTTAAAATTGATTTTAAATAAAATAAACGGTGCACGAATATATTCTGCAGAAAATTTAAATAGAGATCGAGTAAAAGCCCTCTTGCCTCAGCATACCCCACAATCTCACTTCCCATCCTAGAAATGGCCATCCAGGGCTTATTGAAGTGCCTAAGATAGCTCATGTGAATCATGTCACCTTTAGCCTTAGGAAACATTCTTTTGGGTTGAGTTCCAGTTACTTGTGTTGTGAGGTTCTTGTGGAAGGTTCACTGTCTCTCTACCTGCAGACGAATGCTCGGAGCTTATGATACATAACATTGAGGGCTTGCTTGGCAGTCAGAAGTAGGATTGCTTAATCAAAACCCGTGTGGAAATAGCCTGTTATCTCTATGGACTTAAATGGCCATCAGCAGTTCCCCAAATTCAAGACTCCCACATCAATGTCATTGAGTTTTGAAGTTGGAAGGGATCAACATCACCAGGTTCTACCACTGTTTGAGCCTTAACAAGTCATGGCAAGGTTTTACCTTAATATTGTCATTATTACAGTATAATTTTAGAAGAATGACTGTATAGGGGAGCAAACATTCTCCAAGCTCCCCTTAACGTCGCCCTGCTCTCCTGACTTAAGTGCCATCCACCTTATTTTATAGAAGAAAATACTGAAACTCAAGACCCCCTACCTGGACAGGGGTGGAGCAGAGACCAGAACGCTGGACCTCTGACTCAGTGCTCTTTCTACTCTACACTCCATCTTCCACATCCGCTTTTTGCTAATATCCCATAGGTAAGACATAAGATAAAAACAATGCCTCAAAATACAAGACAACCAAGGCCTCACCTTTCTCTCATTACTCAAATGATGCAAAGCCCAAAGCCCTCTCCACCTGACTTCATCCACTACCGCCCGAGCTCTCCAAATGCTTCCAGGTGGGACACCCACATTCAAGGCCACTTCGATTCCTGGTTACCTTCCGGCTGCTGAGCCTCTGCATCATATAGAGTGAACAGAGCCCAGCTTTACAGCCAGAAAGATCTGGCTTTTACTCCTGGCACCCCACTTCAAGCTGTGTGACATTGGACAAATCCCATATCCTAGCTCAGGCGCCGTTTCTTTACCTGTGAACCATCTGTCCTACCTACCTTAAAGAGTTGCCATAAGGGCCAGATAATGCAATGACTAAGAGCGCTTTGGAAAGAAGAATGCTGGAGGCAGATTGCCGTCGTTATCAGTGTCCGGCCCATCCTTTTCATGTGCAGCTCTGTGAAGACATCTTCCCTTGACGTCAGAACCAAAAAAGCCAAACAAAGCAAAGACCCAGGGCTACATTTCTGCTCTGGAGTCTCTTGTATGACAGTATCTATGTTAGGCTTTTCAGTGTGTAAACCGAAACAAAACAAAAAAGAAGAAAAATCAGCAGCAAATACTGCTTGGTTTTGCATTTTCCCTTCTGTTTTCTGATTAGAGTCTCTATGGCCTGTGAGTGCAGAGAGAACCTCAAAAGATTGTGTTTGCTGCGGATAAGCACCAAACTCGATGTTTATCAGCACTTATCTCCTGCAAACTCACTCTCTGGAGGCTTCAAAGGCTGAGGGAGATCTCTCAGCCTTGCTCTGAGGAGACAGGCAGGCAGACACTCCTCCCTGGGCCTTCAGCTGCAGGTGGGGCCCAAGAGCACTTGCTCCATCCTTAGGAGCATAGTTCTCTTGCTCTTCCCCATGCAAAAAAAAGGAAGCAGCAGGTTTACTGAAGGTTTGGGGATGAGCTGTGGAGTAGAGGGAGCAGGAGAAGAAAAGAAGTGTTTTAAAACAAGCCCAGAATGGCTGAAAAAGTAGGTGGAGAGGGAAAGGGAAAGGCACACTGCTTACGCTCCTGCTGCCTCCACCCCTCAACCCCCTTCCCCACCGATCTCACTCTTTAGTCTGCCGAACAAGCCCATGAGCCTTCAAAAGGCGTTTTAATTCCCTTCATCTGCTCTCAGCTCACCTTCCCTACCTCCTTTGGGTCTGCCCACTACTCTCCATTCCCAGGGATTGTTGGCTGAGAGTGGGACGGTGGGAGGGAGGGAGGCAGTGGTGGGGGCAGGGGGAGCCAGCATTTTATTAGGCTGTTGAATTTGATTTATTAGGGGGGAAAAATCCTTCGCTTGCTTGCCACACAGGTTATTCTCAAAGTGAAAACTCTATTTTACTTTGAAAAAAAATGGTGAAAGTGCCTACAGTTATGAATGGAGCTCTTTGTTACCTTCCAGATCGACAAGACAGACTGTTTGGTTCATGTCTGTGCACCAGCAAAGGAGTGTGGGGGCCTGGGAGACAGATGTGGCCTTAATTGCATGGAAATATTAGAAGATCGTTAAGCCATTTTGACAGGATTTTCCTCTAGCTGTGGGAGTAAAGGGCCACGTCTGAGCCGCATCAAGCCTGGCCAGAGCCACTGGCAGGGCCTCTCATCCCCACGTGTGAGGGACACATGGGCCTTGGTTCATGTGCCCTAATATTGGTAGGGAATAGATGCCTCCTTGTCACCAACTTCCACCCCACGTCTCTGCCCCATAAGTGCAGAAAGCAATCTCCCAAGAAACCCTAAGGCCTGTAGTGGGAGTTGGAAGAGAAGCTAACCAGTGAAATAAATATTTGGGAATGTATACGCACATGTATGTGGACAGAGAGAGATCAGACCATCTCCAGCCTGAACGGTGCCCTCCATAAGGCTCTCCAGGGACCTACATGGGCCTGAAAGAGGAAATCTGTTATCATGACAAATAATGGCGTCTAAAGACAAAACCTTTTCTATCTATTCACTTCTTCCCTTTCAAAGTAACATTTGTTGCTTACAGAAGTCGTGACCCATGAGAGTCCTGTAATTAAGTCAGAGAAATCCTCAAACAATGTTGGCTCATCAAAGAACAAGACCCCATAAATATGGTCAACCTTGTTACTCCTAGGCTGGCCTAATCATGGTTCCAATATACTTTTAGCTCCCCACTTCTTCCCCCACTTGCCCTGGTTAATTTTCTGCATGCTCAGAGAATGCAAATATTTTCATATTAGCTTAAATTAAAAATAATTAGGAGGGTTAGTGTGCTGGGAGGGAGGGAGAAGCCCCACCCAAACTACAGTTCAGTAACCCCTTTGGGTTCCGAGAGTAATGTTTTAGATAAGCTCTTCCTCACTTAGATCAGACAGTGTTGGCAGTCAGACTAGGAGTAGATTAGTATCACAGGGTCCTCCCTTCAGAGTGGTACACCCCTATAGCTCAGAGGCCACTTGTTAGAGTTGGGGTGGTAGGTGGTTGCTTAGATGATGTTTGGGCCTCAGCCTGGTGCCGATGGGGATGGAGACTAGGTGAACAGAAAGGAAGGCTGGTGGAGAGATGAGGAAGGAGAGAAGGTGCGGCCACAGAGATCCTGTTTTCATGCAAATATTGTTGTTAACCCAAAGGGAAAGAGGGAAGAGCTCCCAGGCACGCTGGCAAGCCAGCATCCCCAGGCTGGGTCTGACATTTAAGGAGCACCGGCAACGAGTTAAGGGGCTAAGGGCCCACAGTCTGCAAGCTCTGGTTTAAAACACAGTCACTCAGCCAGGCACGGTGGCTCATGCTTGTAATCCCAGCACTTTGGGAGGCTGAGGCGGGTGGATCACTTGAGATCAGGAGTTGGAGACCAGGCTGGCAAACATAACGAAACCCTGTCTCTACTAAAATACAAAAATTAACCAGGCGTGGTCATGGGCGCCTGTAATCCCAGCTACTCGAGAGGCTGAGGCGGGAGAATCACTTGAACCCGGGAGGCAGGGGTTGCACTGAGCTGAGATCGTGCCACTGCACTCCAGCCTGGGTGGCAGAGCGAGACTCCATCTCAAAAATAATAAATAAATAAATAAATAAATAAATAAATAAAATAAGATACAGTCATTCTGCCTACTGTGACTCTTCAGGCCAGAGCCTCCAGCCAGTCCAGATGCAGGGGCATCTTATTGTGGACTCTTTCTTCCGCCCTTCCAGAGGACTCCAGATCTAAGCGGTGTTTCAGGATCCTGCAGTGAGAGCCACAACATTTGACTCAATGGAGAAAGTGCCAAAGTCAAGCCTTCGTGTCCCCCTCTCCTTCTTGCTGTGTGCTCTGCAGAAGAGGGGATAAAATGCTCATCTGAGGTCCTGGCTGGCTGTCTCTGACCAGAAAGTCCCTGAGCCAATGAAGTGTTAATGCCTTTGCCCCTCCTCCCCCCATTCCTGCTCAGTTCACAGCTTTCCTGTCCTCTGAAATCCCTTCCTTGGTAGCCAATTGCACCACCTCTTTACCTCAAGTTCTGCCACCTTCTCCTGAGGCAATGGCTCCTTTGCTTGGTTGGTTTCTGGGATGCTACGTGGGGGTGGCTGGGGAAGCTTGTGCCTGGACTGTCTCGGGAGCTCACAGTGACGTTGACAGTGCACTGCTTCCATTTGTAAATGCCATGTGCTTTCCAGAACGCTTTCGAGGGCTTTATTCCTATTTCATCTAAGCTTCAAACATACCATCGTTCCCACCATATTTAATTCAGACTCTTCTCCCCTTTCCCGTTGTCACTTCCCCACCTGTGTGCACAGCCTGTGTTTACATGGCAGGTTTGCCGCAGCTACTCACTTTTCCAGGGTTACCATGCATATTCCCAGAATAATCTGCATTTCACCTATTTAGTTCACTGCAGGGACTTAGCCAGTTCCATGGAGGAAAAGTCCCACAATTCTCCTAATCTCATAGACATTAACAATACCACTAAAACGATGGCATCATTTTTCCATAGACATACTCCTGGCTTTTATCACAGTGCCTGGCACATAGAAGATATGCAATAAATATTTGCTAAATGAATGAATACATCAGTGAATGAGCGTTCTTTTGTGGGACAAATCTGTTTTAGGGCACCATTGTGAGACAAGACATGTTAAAGAAATATCCAGAGTGACCTTCGCATGTTTTGAGGAGCACATAGTCTGGTCACCAAACACAAGTGTCCACAGCCTACCCTCTCCAAGACGGTAACCACTCATAACGTGACTTCTTAAATTCAAATGAATTACAGTTGACTAAAATTAAAAATTCAGTTCCTCAGTCACACCAGACACATTTCAAGTCCTCAACAACCTCACAAGTCGAGTTGCTTCTGCATTGCATGGTGCAGATTTTAGAACAGTGCCAGCATCACAGTCATCTCCCCTGGACCAAATCAGAGAATTCAACTTCTTTCTATGTAAATGAATAAGAAGTTTAGGTAAAGTTTTTTGTTTCTTGATCCTGATTTTAAGATTGATGCTGACGAGTATGCATTTGTTGGTTTTATGTAGAACCGCCAACATGTTTTACAGGCCATTCAGACTGACGTCATACCTGAGAGCATTTTTGGTTCATGATAAAAGGAGCAAGAGGACCACAAGGTTCCCCGGGGACATTTTGCTCTCACAGTTTCCCAAGAGAGAAAGGTTTGAGAAGGTTGGCTCCACTGGCTTCATCGCCTTTGGGTTTCTCATGAACATCACCAACCCACAATGAACAAGGGAGATCTCAATCACACAGAAAACCAAGTGGAAGTCGCAGTGCAAGAACTTGGAGCCATCTGGACATGGTGGCTCATGCTTGTAATCCTATCACTTTGGGAGGCCGAGGCAGGAGGACCGCCTGAAGCAAGGAGTTCAAGACCAGCCTAGGCAGCATAGTAAGACCCTGTCTCTACAAAAAATAAAGAATAAATAAATAAATTAGCTGGGCATGGTGGTGTGTGCCTGTAGTCCCGGCTACTTGGTACTTAGGAGGCTGAGGTAGGAGGATCCCTTGGGCTCGAAAGTTTGAGGCTGCAGTGAGCCGTGATGATGCTACTGCACTTCAGCCTGGGCAACATGGCAAGATCATGTCTCAAAAAAAAGAAAGAAAGAAAGAAAGAAAGAAAGAAAGAAAGAAAGAAAGAAAGAAAGAAAGAAAGAAAGAAAGAAAGAACTTGGAAACTTGGCAGACTTTGACAATGGATCCTGAGGAAAATGGAACTGAACAGGACATAGAAGTTCAGAAATTTTTGAGGTTTGGGACATCTCAGGGCATGTACACCTGGTAGGCTAATTTTCCATTTCCCACAAGTTTTTATAATGTGGAGGATTGAGCCTCCCTGCCATGAAGACACATGTCCTTGAGACAGACAGACAGGCATGGCTCTGTTGGGCAAGGTTGGCACCTCCAGCAGCTTCCAAGAGTAGAACACTAACTGCCCCTTATGGAGTAACTAAACTAGTCCAAGCCCCTAGGAACTGTCAGTGGGTTTTAGCTGGGTTTTCTGCTCAGCTTTACTGAGCTTGACAAAGAAAACATCTCCATATAAACCCACTGAAATGTTTTCTCTGGAGGACTACGGCAGGACTGGTTCACAAAATATCTACTTTGCCTGTAGATGGATGCCGGGAGACAGCAGACCCCTGTGCTGGACTGTCCAGGCTTAGCACTCCAGTTAAGCAGGATGTAGGCCAGCCCTGTGAGTGACTGTCTGCAGGGCAGCTGCCAACGGAGGGACCAGCTGTGCACCAGAGAGGGAGCCTGAGCTCCATGATGAGAGGATGCTTGGCTCCTCATGTAGAGACCAGGCTGTCCTCAGTTCCCCTGACTCCCTCTAGAAGGGAGAGCGAACATGACAACCAAAGGGCCCATGAAGCTCATGAACACCATGTTATGTGAGCTTACTCATAGACAGGGTGGCCATATAATGCATCATCCAAAGTGGGATAATTTTGAGTGAAAGGAGGCGCTAGTAAGCATTTCCTGGAACAATAGCATAAAGTGGAACCGTTCCAGGCAAAGGTGCTGTAGAATCACTCCACTAAAAGATGTTAGGGTTGAAGCCCTGGAAGGGATCTTAAACAGATCATGTAGCTCAGTCCTTTTATGTAATAGGTACATAAACAAGCCCAGAGAGATAGAGTGCCTTTTCTGTACCACGATTATTACATTCAGGGAGGGCTATGTGACAGGCACGAGTTAGAACACTATTATTATCGCTATTTTACCAAAAAGGAAACTGAGGCATGGAGAGATTAAAAAGCTTGTCCAAGGTCACAAGACTGGCAAGTGGTAGATGCAGAATTCAGATCCTGACAGTCTGGCTCTGTGGGTAATATATCAAAGATGACAGGACTGTACCTCTCACAAACCAGCAGAGTGGAGAGCCCCCTCGATCCTCACATCAAAACCCTGTGGGTGCTGTCATTGTGCCCATTTATGGATAAGGGGACCAATTCACTCAGCTAGTAAGTGACAATCATGTCTACAGACAAGCACAAAGAAAATTATCGTGGGGAATTTACAATCTAGTTGAAGAGCTAGAACATAAACCTATGAAAAACCACAATGGAAGGCAACGGTTAAATAAATATCAAAGCAACGTGACAAGGCAGTCTAAGATAAAGTGCCAAATTGGTGGTAGAGGTGGACCATACAACAGACTTCAGCAGAATGGAGGTTCCTATGCTGAGCTGGAGTGAGCAGGGAGACTTCCTGGAGGAGGCGGAATTTGAGGTGTTCAACAGTTTGGTGAATGAATGAGATATGATTAGGCAGAGAAGACGGGGAGGCAATTATATGCAGGTGAAGCTGCATATGTGTATTAAATGTACATTAAATATGCCTCTAAAGGTTAAGAGTGCAGGAAGGAAAGAGGCAGGCGAGCCTTACATAACAAGAAGAAAAACTATTTGAAATAGGACATTAAAATGCAGGAGGCGGAGCAAGAAAGAGAAGGCATGGAAGCACGGGGCAGAACAATTGAAGGTGACAGAGGGAAAATGAACGGAGAGCACAAAAGGAAAGGAGGAGCAGATTGAAACAGAGCACAGGAACTGGGCAGAGAGGGCCCTGGCCGCCGAGCTCTCCCAGAAAATGGACCTCCCCAGGCCCCACCTCCCTCCATCACTCCCATCCAAGGTTTCTGCCACATGTCGCTGCAACAATATGGTAACCATATGCCCTGGGCCACAAAAGAGCTAAACACCTTGGACAGAGCAGTTCACCCAGATGTGCTAGTTGGAAATACTGCACCCTCAGGACCTGCTTCCCGACTTGATGGGCCCGAGGTCACCAAGCATGGCTCCTCAGCCGTGAATCACGGAAAAGAAGCAGCCATTAAGAGCTGGAAAGCGGATTCAGGGTCTCCCCCGTCCCCATGCCCTGAGAGGAAACGAAATAAAATGGATGCAGGCCTCGTCTGTGCGTGGAGATGAAGCGGTGTTCTTTCCTGGCTTGTGTGCGGGAGGCAGGACATCGCGAGGCTGGTTTGGCCTTCGTCCCTCTGCCAGGCTGCTCCCTGGGTGTTGCTGGAAGGGACTGAAGCCCCGCCATGTGCACGTTTCCTCGTGGGCTTCCTGTGATTGTGAGGGCCCCGGTTGCCATGGCAACTGCCACGTGAGGAAATCGTCAGATAAGATCATAGCTTCTAGGAATAGGACCTCAAGTGGTTGTTTGGGGAAAGCGGTCAGTGGCTTCATGTTTAAATTTGAAGAAGAAACAGTCACTGGGTGTGGCTGCTTTAAAAAAAAATTAGACAAGCCTGGGGGGAAAGGCTTCATCAAAATTGCTCAAAGCATAAAGATAGAAGGGGTAGTCTGACTGGTGTGGAGGTGTGGGCAGGGAGGGAGGGTCCCTGCATTTTCCATCGGGCGCTGAGGCTTTTATTTATTAACATAATTCATTGCACACCTCTTTGGTGCCAGGAAGTGTGCAAGCAACTGGGGATGAAAACCAGGAATCAGATTGATGAGGTTCTTCTCTTCAGGGTGCCTAACTAGAATCTGTCCTTGAGATAAAGAATGGGAACGTTCCCATGACCCCCGGAATCGAAGAGACACCCAAGGGCACATGCCATCCACACTCCTTCCTCTCCTCAAGGCTTAGAAAACTTGCAGAACCTGCCGCCTCCAACCCTGGTGGACAAGTCTCTGTTTCCCTTGCGGGAGCCCATCCTTTAGGATCTGAATATTCTGACTCCCACCTTCCCTTTGTCACGCAGAGTCCTCTCTTGTCCCTGCAGACCCAGATTGAGATCCTCTTGGTCTAGCTCCCAGAAAGACCAGTCCTCAAGGGACACTCTCAGAAGCCTCTTTCTCGAGCTATAGGAAAGCTCCGGGTCTCTATCCTGGCTCCCAGGCTACTCCTTCATCCCTGCAGTGGGCGAAATTCACTCCACAGGGAAGCACTGCAGTCACTTTCCACGGAGGCTCTTCTTGCAAACTTTCAGCTCTCTGTGGTCAGGGAAGTCTGACCATTTGTCATCATTAGAGAGCATGAAGCTTTCAGTAGAGGATGGTTAAAAATGTCCAGGAGCTGGGAGATGAAGTAATTTGCCCAAAGTTGCACAGCCAATAAAGCTCCACATTGACCCAGCTGGTGGCCCGTGCCTTTTGTTAGAACAGACTTAAAGCAGCTGTCCATGAAGGGAAGAGAGCAGTGCTGTGGCTTGCTGCCTTTTGACCCCATCTGCAGCCAGGATGGCCAGGGCTCCTCTGCAGGAAGAGGCTGCTCCCAGTGGGGTCCAGATCCTCACCCATCCTCAGGCGGCACCATCACTGGGATCAGAAAACCATTCTGCAGGTCAGGGACAACATTCACATCATGACAATCCATGAGGCGTGGGCTGCAGGGCAGCAGCCCTTTGTCTCAGAGCAGGGTTCTGGAGGAGCCACAGTGCCCATCACCTGCCTTTTCTTTGTCCCAGAGCAGAGGAGGGAAGTGATGCATGTCAATGCAGCAGCACTTTATCCACCTGTGTGGCTGTGTTGCAGTATTTTTCATGACTGGTACAGCCACTCCAGTGAAATCTGGCAGAACAGAGTCCCCGGGAAAAGTATGTGGGACAGCACGTGTGCTGGTGCACCCAGGTGGCCTTCCCAGAAGCAGCCCTCCCTGCGGGTTCTCCCATGCCATCTGGCTTTTGTCGTGCTGGTTGCTGGTTCCGTTTTTATCATCCCACCTTTGCTTCAGTGAGGCCTGTGTTTAATCCTTCCCACCCATTAGGCTGGGTGGGAGAATACTGGCTCCGTCTTACAGAAGAGAACATCTAAGCTGCTTAATTGTAGTAAGTCTCAACATCTCAGTCTGGCTGTGCCCTGTCCCTTTGACACTGTGGGACCTACTTTAATGGTCAGGCCACACCCTACTTTATTCTCTGAGAGGAGCTTGGTCCCGGACGGTTAAGTGTGAAGAATTACACCCAGTAAAGCACTGCCGGCCCTTCGGTGGTTCCCACTGCCATCTAGAAAAAGCCACTGGACAGTGGGCAGACCCAGTGGAAGGAAACAGAAAGTAAAACGCACTGTAAAAAGTTCGCTTCGTGGGGTTCAGATGAACGTTCTATCTCCCATCCTGTGAGTTTCCATATTCAGCACTTTTTGCTTTTCAGCAGTAAAAGCATTCTCTGTGGGAGGAGAATTTAACTTTGATCTTTAGAGATGCCCTTTAAATGTGGTTATGGTCAAAAAAGTGACTGTGAACACTCAAAGTCAACAGGCAAAGGTAAATACCACGGGAGACCTGGAGCAGCACTGAGCGGGAGGCCCGTGAGGCACAGAAGGCCATGGCTCTGGATTCTGTTACAGCGCACAGTCCTGGGAGGACGCAGAGATCCCCTTCTCCGAGCTCACTTAGGCTCAGACCCTTCATTTGTAAAACGCCATTACATAAAGTACTGTCGTCTGCAAATAATTCCAATTGCATCTTCTAG